GGCTCGGCTCGGCTCGGCTCGGCTCACCTCCCGCGTTCCCAGAAACTTCGCCGGGACGAAGTTCAGCCGTCCATACGTCGCGTTTCTTCCTCTTTCCTTTATTTATATCATTCAAACGGTAGTTGCTCCGTTCTTTGAGGACTTTTTCTATTTTTCACTAGAGCTTGCTTCCTTCAAAACTGTAGCCGTTTCTTACTTTGTCCTTCCCTCCCCCCGCCCCAAAAATAGCACCTGGGAGCCTGCGAAGTCAGATTATGATCTTGCGACCATCCGTTGTTCATAACGGGAAAACTTCTCTCTCCTGGAAGGCAGGTTCCAGGCAAATCAATTTTAAATTCATTAAGATGCCTGATATTAACAATTGAAATACTGTTTTCAATCAAGCAGCTGAACCCATTTTTCTTTACCTTTGATCTACCCCCCCCGCCCGCCGCCCCCCATCATTTCCTTCTAGTGTCCAGTCAGACACAAAATTGGCTTCATCCAAAAGCCAGTCAGCCTCTGTCCGAGTCATTCATTGATGTTGGCTGCTGTTTTCCCACTTTAGGCCAAATTCCCCATTTACCCAATGTACAGGACTCAGCTTCTTCAAAATCAGTTTCTGAAAAAGGTATGTAAGATCAACATCTTCTATTTAAAAAATCTTTAATTTCTTCCATCAAGGTTTTGGAATTCACCTCTTTGTGGGGTGAAACTGTCCTCTTTTCATTCTTGCACATTTATCTTTAGATGATGATGGTGATATGACTGGCTCACAAACTACATCTGCAGGTGTGGCCTTAGTTTTCTCCAGCTTCAGAATTGTTTTATCAGACAAATGGAGTTATCCACAAATACACCTCATTGTTTTCTTCAGAAAAGACATCCTTGATGGTGTCCTGGCAAGCTAAAGTAGCCCTTTAATGCTTCAAACACATGGAGAGTGTTTTCCCGAGCAGGAAGAAGTGAGAAAAATCTCATACTGCCATGCTGCAAGGGTCTACAGCCACAAATCCCAAAACTCTTGCAGCTGGGTAACCCTAGCAATATTTATGGAAACACGTGTACACTTTCCCAAGAGCTTCATATCATATAGTAAACTCTTAATTGCATTGAAAGGCAACAGTCTAGTTGTCTTCTGCAGCGATCACAACTTTGATCACAGTCCTTCCAATTTTTTGTTCAAATTCTTCAAAAAGCTCCCTCTTTCACTTCACCCTTCCAGAAGGATCCTCACAAAATGCTAAATTTTTCTTTAGAAAAGATCGATCTGCACGGCCAGGTGGCCGCCACAGGACTGTGGGCACTGGTTCTGAAGCTCGGGAACCGATGGCCTCATCCTCTGCCCACCCCTCCTCCCCTCCGATCACTGATCACTGCCCCCCACAGTCTTAACCATGGGGTGCTGGGCTCCCCACCATCTTAGCCGTGCCTCAGCCAGCAAACCGGTGTGCCCGCCTCCTTTGTTTCACCTGCAGATAAGTGAAATGCTGCACTTAAATAAGTTTATTGGAATAGTGAAACATTGGACTTCCTTCTTTTTACAAGTTTAGTGATGGAGTGGTGAAATGGTGGATCTTTCTTTCTTTCTTTCTTTCTTTCTTTCTTTCTTTCTTTCTTTCTTTCTTTCTTTCTTTCTTTTTTAACCAGGTAAAACTGACATGAGCTACCAGTGACAGTAAGAATGGTAAAGGTGAGTTCTTCCTTCTTTAAGAAAAATGAAATTGACAAGAGTGCTGCCAGTTTCCCTGCTAGCCCTGGTGTCAGGAGGAATGGTAAAACTGGTGTTTTCTTTCTTTTTACTGGTCAACTAGTGGATGCCCCAGAGGGAAAGATGCCCAGTGTGAGGGGGAGTCAATGGAGGGGGCCTGTCAATGGATGCGTCATTTCCTCCAAGCCCCCACCGCCCCCCCCCGAAAGGGAAGTGACAAGCCCTTGCTCTCCCCGCACTGATTACAGGGT